CAAGAAAAAGGCAATCAAAATCGCAATCATCTTTAAAATCCCAATCACAACTGGCTTCACCTTTTGGGACTGTTAACTTAGGTGATTTTTAAATGCAAACGTTGTATTATGTAGATTTTATGTGTGAACTTTTAACATTTTCAGTTAGGCATGTATTAGTAACTTGAGTTTGAAAATTGCTATGATCTGTTCCAGTTGTTATCACTTAATAGGCAATCATCTTAATGTCCATCGCAACGCGGAAATTAATATCGCAATGCGAAATGAAAATCGCAACGAGAGAATCGCAATGCGAAATGAAAATCGCAATGCTCATTTCGCATTGCGATAGTACTTTTTGCCTTCAACATAATGCAGATTGAAATCAACAAAATCAACCATTACATTTCAATCAATTAAACAAGCACAAATAAGAATTATGTTAACATCAATTAAACAAATCAACTTTTACAAATCACCTTTTACAAATCAATTAAACAATAAAAAAATAAGCAATAATTATTAGAGAAAATAACACTTATACTATTGAATCAACTTTTGCAGCCATACATCATTTTCACGCAGCTCACTTCTGAGATTAACCTGCATAAACCAAACATTTGCTCAAACAACACTTTCTACACATCTAAAACCTACAAACAGCAAATTATTGAATTATAGGTACTTAACCAAACATTTTCAAACCACAAGCCTATAAACATACCAATTGTTTATGGACATTTTTATAACGCGGATGCAGGTAGGCAGCGTCTCGTATATATCGATCTAGCCATATAATGTCGAAACCACAAGCCTACTGCAGCTCTATCTATATCGGTGGGAGGTAGATACTTTATACTTCCTGTGATCAAACGGTCCAACGCCAAGCATACGAGAGGACCACAATCCCCTCTAGGTCCTTTCGTTTGTTGTGGTGCGGTCTCGTCTCTGCTAACTGTAATATTGAGCTTCTTTGGCTTCTTGTTTTCAGAACGAGTCCAATAATTTATCGCATCCAAGTATTTAGCCAAATAAGAGCTCCATCCCTTAATAATATCTCTTAAATCAGCCAATGATATGTAATTTATCATGCTGTCATATACTATTGCCTTAAGGGATGGGATCTGAAGCTCGACGAGAAGCCAATGGTTACGTTCCAAAACAGGGATAAACACCTGCAATCATAAGTAATAATCATTCATTTGCGCACTTATTTATGAATACCTTTAAACTCAATCTAAAATAAACACTAACCTTATCGACCTCCCACCATGCAGGATAAAGTTTAGCTTGTCCATTGCCCAACGCAAATGATTCATCTCGTTGATTCTTTAAGTGAACTGCGTTAAAAGCCGTCGGCATTATTGTATACCGTGTATTTCTTTTATTTTCCTTAAGTTTCCTAATTATTAGTAGACGTGACACCCACGCATCGATATGCTGTTTTACAAAAAAATACATATATTAGTGAATTACATTAATTTTTAAACAAATTAATCAAATGAAAATATAAGATAGATTTAAGACTTACCCCTCCATCGAAATAGCCATTGTCTTCGACCCCTAATAATACGCCCCACCAAGACCGATCAAGCAACAAATAGATATCATCATTGAGCTTGCATATGTCAGTGAAACACCCCTGGCTTCGCTCATGTAGATAAAAATCAACTGCGGTCTTAGCCCAAAGGGTGTTATCCAGAATTGTGTCCGGTAGTTGTTTCCTCTCCTCTTCAGATACCGGTATGGTACTGGCCGGTAACTCATACGAGAGCCAATTTGAATCCATCATGTCCGGCACGTCAGAGGGTTTCTCAAGAATCCTACATATGACGCCATGTGAATCGGGCTCTTGAATGGTGGGAGGGACCTCTTCAACGATGGCAGTGGCCTCTTGAACGGTGGGAGGGGACTCTCGAGAAATGATAGGGGCCTATTCAACGATAGGAGTGGACTCTTGAGGGATGATAGGCGAGTCGGGCTTCTTCTTGCGGTGTCTTCGCACTATTGGGGTATACGGAGACTTAATAGCACGTGCACACCGTCTGATGCGTGAACTCTGTCGTGCAAGAAAAACCCGACGTAAAGCATCCACCTTATCGGTCCGCTAAATAAAAATACAAATATCAGTAAATAAACAGACATGATATTTAAACAGTGAAAACAAAGATAAATATATTTCAAACTTTCAACCAAAAGACAAAACAAAGACAAATACTAACTTCACAGTGTTAAAGTAAAAAGTTTAGCAGTTTTGGCAGCAACCGAATAAATTTACTAAGCAATCTAAGTGAAATGGTTAATTTAAGTGAAATTACGAGTAAATTTATCATCAAGTTAAATATGGAAAATCTTAAACTTACCTCGTTGCGTAGAGTATGAACCTCATTCTGTAACGATACTACCATCTCACGTAGAGCGGCAACCTCACCACGTAAAGTAGACACCTCCACACGCCATGCACCATCGTTATCGCGTAGAGTACCGATCTCCTCACGCAAGGCATTGACCTCATCACGTAACTCCCTTGACTCATCCCGTGGAGGTGGAGAACATGGAGATAGAAGTCGTGGCATCTTTGTCGTTCGCCTATCATGAGGTAATGGTGGAGAAGAGACTCGATGATGTGACGGGATAGGTGATGGCTCTCGTTGTAGAGGTGTATAGTCGGGTCGATCAGGTGATGGCTATGGGTGAGGTGATGGCTCTCGAAGTGGAGGAAGTGGAGGCTGCTCATCATTCGTGCCATCAAAAAAATGCTGACTAGCTTGCCACCAATCAGTGGCAAGCTCAGCCTCTGTGGGTGTCAGTCTCATTAATGGAGTGTTGGCCTCCTAAAAATATAAAAACTAAAACAAAGTTAAACGTCTACTATTAATAACTTGTTTATATATGATAGTATTTGTGTTAACTTACATTATTTATTGTCGCATATGGTATTAAGTCTTCCCAATCCAACATACGTTTCCTCTTCCAGGAAATAGCCCTAGGAATATCATCTGAGGATTTTAATGCATATGTCCGCATGCTGGGGAAAGCCTCGAATATCCAAATCTACAAACAATATAATAACAAACATTAGTAATTGTTAAATAATTAATTATAATTTTGAAAACATTATATAGAAATTCTTACCTTAAAGGCCCAAACAAAGCCTGACAAAGTGTATTTCGACCCATCGCCCCGCAAACTTTTGCGGTCATCAAAGGCAGACGACAACTTAGTCCAGGTAGCTTTCCATATATACGAACCCCACGGAAACAGATTCCATGCATTTAGGTCCTCTACCAATAATATTAGCTCCTGAGGAATAGGTTGTCTGGCCTCTCTGCCTAGAAAGCCGGCATACAAAAGTAGTAGAAGGCATACTCGGACAACATCGACGTCATTCATCCGAGTAAAACCATCTTTCTTATTAAACAATTTCTTCATGTCGTCGACGTGTAAGTTCGGCTTCTCTATTGACTCATCAGGAAAAACCCTGGATAACCATGATGGGCGGGTGATATGACGAGTGTACCGGCCTACATCATCGTGTCCGAATCGTAGACCAGTGATTAAGCAGAACTCCTTCCGCCCAAAACAAGTATACGCCGGTGGAAAATAAAACCATATCTCTTCCTCACCACGTTGTATACTGTCAGGTAGATCGCTAGTCATGGTCTAAAGCCACAAATGGGTCAAACTAGCATCTCCACCCGGATGCTGTACTCTCAGCCATGACCCGAAGCAGGTTTCTTCAAACAATTTTCTTTGTGCAGGTGAAAGCTTCGAAGCAATTGTAGTGGCTAGGCTAACTTTATTCCTTAATGTCAATGAAGCCGAAAAAAATTTCTACAAAAAAACAATAAACATACCAAGTTAGATATACCAAAAATTACACTGTCAAGATATACCAAAAACAAAACAATAAACATAAATAGTAGTTTATTCTTGAAACTAAAATTTGCAACATTGTTTTTTGTCTTTTGGTTGAAATGAAAATCGCAACGAGATAATGAGAATCGCAACGCGGAAATGACTATCGCAATGAGAGAATCGCAACGCGAAATGACTATCGCGACCAGACAATCGCAACGCGAAATGAAAATCGCAACCGCGAAATAAAAATCGCAACGCGAAATGAAAATCGCAATGCGATTTTGGTTTCGCGTTGCGATTTTTATTTCGCGTTGCGATAGTTATTTCCGCGTTGCGATTTTCATTCTCGAAACTATTCTTCTTCTGCATTACTTCAACCAAAAGACAAAGCAAAAACAAATACTAACTTCACAGGCTAAACAGTTTAGCAGTATTGGCAGCAATCGAATGAATTTAATAAGAAATCTAAGTGAAATGGTTAATCTATTATTGAAATTACCAGTAAACTTATCATCAATCTCAATATGAAAAACCTAAAATAATGTAAAATTTTCAAAATAAAAATAAAAAAAACTAACCCTCGGAGGTTGATTTTCCATTTCTGAATGATTGCGAGGGATTTTTGACTGTGAATGGTTGTGAGGGATTTCGCCGGCGATGGGGACGGAAATCTTCGGAGATGGGGACGGATTTCGCCGTAGAGAGTGAGAGATGGAGATGAGACTGAGTGTTGTGTTTTTGGGTTTGAGGTTATGAGTTGCGATTACTGTGGACGGTTCATTTTCCGATTTATTAAGAAAAAATACGTGTTTGGAATTTGAAAAAAAAATACGCGTTAATACGAATGGCGCTATGTAAATCGCGTTGCGAAAGTCAGTATCGCGTTGCGAAAGTAAGTATCTCGTTGCGATTTTTTATTATCGCATTGCGATAGTAAGTATCGCATTGCGATTTTCCCAATTCGCGTTGCGATTTACTTATTCGCATTGCGAATTGGGAAAATCGCAACGATACTGTAGACCATCGCAACGCGATTTTCAACTATCGCATTGCGAAAATGCAACGCGAATTTGCGATAATGGAGATCGCGTTGCGAATTAGTGATCGCATTGCGATTTTGTTGGTCATTTTGGCAAATCCGGAAAAAGTTGGTTAAAATAGAAGCAGCAAAGAAGAAGAAGAAATGCCGACCTTGAATTTATACACAAACTTACCTGTGGACGCAGTCACCACCTCTGACATCCTCAAAGACGCCACCCAAGCTGTTGCCAAAATCATCGGCAAACCCGAATCCGTTTGTTCTTATTCACTCTTCTTCTCTCTTTGTTCTATTGTAACTTTTCAATGGCTTTATCTTTGTTTACTTATCTTCTTTTGGGGGGGGATAAAATGGGTTAACAGTACGTGATGATCTTGGTGAATGGAGGAGTTCCCATGGCATTTGCTGGGACGGAAGCCCCCGCTGCTTATGGAGAATTGATTTCTGTCGGGGGACTTGGACTTTCTGTTAATTCCAAACTCAGTTCAACAATTGCTGATATTCTTCAAACCAAGCTCTCAATCGATAGCTCTCGCTTCTACATCAAATTCTATGATGTTCAGGTCCTTTCTTCCCTCTGCTTTTACTCTTTTAAGATGAAAATGTTTTTTTTATTTGGAATGTTTAGTAGAAAAGTCTGGGATTTTGCAGTGCTCTGTTGAATGTTTGAAACATGTTTGATGGAAAAGCACACACCTTATCAAAACCACTGGCCTTTCGATTATAATCCCAATTTTTCTGAACTTAGTTTGAACTCAACCTTAGCCAAAATATTATTGTTGCCAACACTTCTTCATAGCAACAAAGAGAAAAGAATTGTTTGTATAAGCAAAAGGGTAACTCTTGGTTTTGGGTTCAAAGAGATAAAGCAATAACATTATACTTTGGATCTGTTTTTAGGGTAATCATTTTCGCAGTCCTTAATTGTATTGTCAAATTATTGTTTACAACTGAGTGAAGTATCTAACTTGCTTTGCTATAACTTATTTGTGTGGATGTTTTCATTTTCGAACACGTTTTTATGAATTTGCTGCATCTAGAGAACCAAATTGTATCATCAGGTCATTGAAACATAACAATGCAATTGGACTTGCTTCTATATAATGACTATCAGTAACTTGTATGAAACGAGCTCGGCTTTTGTTGGATGTAGTTATTAATGCTCTGAAATATGATTGTCGTCCAGTTGATCCTTCACTTCTAATTAACTCAGCTCAATGTCTATTTCATGTTTTTTTTAATTGATGCAGCGGTCATTCTTTGGATTCAACGGTTCGACTTTCTGATGAGTGGTTGAAATGAACAGAAAGCATATCGCAGTTCAAGCCAGAATCATGTGTGCAGGACTAGTTTTGTCTATAAAAAATTATCGATTGAAGACTTTATGATTAACTGAAAAGTATTACCTTGGAAAACATTTGCAAGTTGAATCAGTGGTGTTCCGCTTAGATTTCCCTTGGTTCAGCTCAAAATATGGGGTCATTATCCTACTCAAGTCCAGCACATATCAAGATAGAATAATTCAGGTTTAATGCCCAAGTTAATTCATTAAAATGAGTTTTTTTTTGTATAGAATATATAAAATTAAAAGTGATCAAGGCAGGAACTGGAAAAATATGAAATTATTCGGTATGTTCTTTTAATTAAATATCGGATTAGCACATGTTACCAATTGTTTATCGAAATAAAATTCATGTCTTCCATTCGGGGCAAAGAAAAGTCTAATTAGTTGTCTTTTGGATGGCGTAGTTGATTGTGCGTGTGTTTGTCTTGTGTCACACCACTGGTTAGTAAATTGAAAGGTATGATCAATCAAGCATACAATCGGCGGTGGTGTTTCCGGTGCTGGTGCTATAGATATGGTGCCGTGGGTAACGGTCCCAACGATTTTGGTTTTTCAAGGCCTTCCCTCTCATTGATCTTCTTCAACTTTGTCGCAAGTAAAAGCTAGATCTTTTATATTTGGTTCTTCTTTATGCTTGATTTTTGGCCTACAACGTTCTGTTATGCTCTGCCAGCTCCTCAGATTCCAAAAAATGAAAACGAGGGTCTTTTCGAAGCCCAAAGCAAAGTCGATAACAGATTTGATGGGTTCCATGGGAGGACCCCTTGCCGAGGTGCTACGATCATCATCAACATCTAATTCATCGCCTGCTAGTGTTCTGCATCAGTTGCCGAGGGATTCTACATCAGCACTTGAATATAGTCACTGTAGAATTTAGCACTTGAAATAAAACCAAGTAATAGCATGATAAGAAGATAAAGAGTTGCACCTTGAACGTTGGATTGACCATTTGTCACATGATTATTTGCACTGAAATCAATAAGCCAAGTAGTAAAAGGTCCATAACATTAGATTGAGGAGATAAAGATGACAAACCTTACAACACAGATCGGCAAGTTGATTTGTTATTAGAATAACATGATCTTCCTCTGTCGATTGATTGATTAAAACCAGAGAACAAGTTCCAAAAACTTAGGAAGAATGACATGACAATGGCGGCAACTTAATGACCAGGTGTTAGAGCAATGATCATCCTTCCGTACAAAGTGAAGTAGACAAAGCATGTCAATATGTTGTAATAAAACCTCAGAAATTTCACGGGCGTCCATCTTAATCCGATCATCGAGTACAGAAGTAATGTGTAAATGAAATGGATGGATGGATGTCCCTTGTTCCCATATGTAATGGGGTAAGGGGGAGGTAAGATAGTAGGCTGCCCTCAACACTAGATTGAGAGCAGCTTCCGTAGGAGACCTCCAAATTATGAAATGCCCTCCATATGTAATGTGTAAATGAGTGTTTGTATTTCAGTATAGATTTTCTCTATTGCCACCTGAAGAAAAAAAGGATAGTTCTTATAAGTCCACCTTGTACATTCAGTTTGATTTGTACTGAACTGAAGTTTTTTTACCTGAGCGAATGCATACGGTAATTCAGAGTACATTCCAGCTGCTCTTTCACGGTAGAAGACGGTTCTCTCGATTGCAACAACGGACTGAACAGCTGAAGCATTGGTTGCTCCAAGGAAAAGCACGGCAGAATTCAGTGCTCCAAGAAGATTCATCAGGTCTTGTTGTCTTGATCTAATGATCAGAATAGATTTTGTTTAATGCCAAATTTCAATTACACTATGGAGAAACAAATTGTTCCATGATAAAAGACAAATTGCTTACACTTGTTCTCCTTTGTTCCAGAATATAAGACCGAACAAGATACTGATAACTATTGTCATGAAAAATCGAATGGCATTGTACTGAGGGTTCCTCCAGTAAGACCAATGTTGTTTCCAAAAGCAAGCCTTGCATTGTGTGAGTAATGACTGAGAATATTTTGTAGTGAAGAAAAGATCTTTTGAGCCAGGTGCTGGTTCACTAAGCTCTTTGATAAGTTCTTGATTGATCCTGAGTGTTTGTACATGATAAAATTGAGTATAATGAATCCATTAGTCTTGTCCAGTTTCAGAGGAAAAAGATTACCCACTATGTTAATTGCATTTAAACATACCGATAAAGCGATGAGTTGGATTCACATCTAGTTGTGCCTAAACTGATGGAGCACAGACCTCAAGCATCCATGTTGCAGGATTGTATCCATATCCGATCTTCGGAACCCCTTGGAAGGCCTGCAGTCAAAGATGCAATTTTCAAACTAGTTTAGGTTTCTCAACTTTCTCATCAAGTATCTAATAAGGATTTTCTAAAGGGAAATGAGAAACTCTAACCTCAAAATATTCTATAAGCTTGTGAGAATGCCGACCCAGAGGTCCTGCATAAATGACTTGACCTCCTCTTTTCATTAACAGCAACTGCAACAAGCACAATACAAAGCTGAATGCAGGCAGCAGAAATTAAACAGCTAAATGTCCCTGGAGAGTTTTGTACCTCGTCGAATGCTTCAAATATGTCGATGCTAGGCTGGTGAATTGTGCAGACAACAGTCCTCTCAGTGTCCACAGTGTTTCTCACAGTTCGCATAACGATCGCTGCAGCTCGGGCATCAAGCCCTGAAGTTGGCTCTTCCATAAAGATGATGGAAGGATTAGCAACCACCTCTACTGCAATTGTCAACCTTTTCCTTTGTTCTGTCATAAGACCATCAACTCCCGGAAGTCCAACTAAAGCATTCCTTAGTGGTTTGAGCTCAACCAACTCCATAACTTCGTCAACAAACATCTATAGAAGAAAATATTCAATATCTAGTTTTACCACAGGAACGTTGTCGATGAGTCCAAAACGAGAACTTTGCAGATGCTTTTACAAACCTTTCTAGTCTTCGTATTGATGTTGGAAGCAAGGCGAAGCAAGCGGAGTACAAGAGCGATTCATAAACCGTGACATTTGGGGAGTGAATGTCATTTTGTTCACAGTAACCGCTGACACAAGCAAAGGTTGCTTGGTTCTTAGTGTAACCTGAGATACTGATATGTCCTTCAATGTAGCCGCCTGTTTTCTCCCAGCTAAAACGTCCATCAGGGTTGTCTTCCCAGCTCCACTAACACCCACTAATGCTGTCAATATTAGCACCGTTAACGTCTCGTAGCAACTGAAGATGATCTTCGCCAATACCTTGAGCCTTCATTTCCTAGTGAAGAAACCATGGTTTCACCTCAAATGTTCTCACCAAACCAAAAACGTCGATATAACATGCAAGTAACTTACAGAAGGCATATCAACATAGTAGTTAACATGGTTGAATGCACGTGAAAGGGGTTGGAATGGCAAAACAATGCCTTTTCCAGGATTTTTTGGATTGTTTCTTGCTTTTAGAATAACATCTGTAAATCATTAAGAAAAATTAAACACTTCTAAACTGATGGAAAAAGTACTTTAACTTGAAGTTTAAACTTTGTTCGGTTACCTTCCGATATTCTTCCGCCTGAGTACGGGTTTCTAGTATTCTTTTTCTTGTCTTCGTCTACGACTACGGCTTTGGTATCACCCAAGGCTGAAAATTCATTAACCCAGATTGAATATTCAAGCACAAATAATTGTAACTTGTAAATATAAGAAAATATTAAGAATGTCACTAACGGTTCAGGAAAGTCAATGCTCCAATAAATAAAATGTTGAAGAGAGAAGCCAAAGAGTGCTCCAACACAAATCCAAAACCAATATTCTTCAGTAAAGAAGCCTCTGGTATTGAGAACAACTTTCCCTACTGTTGGTGCATCAATTCTGGGGTCCGTATTGTTCTGTCATTGCATCAATTTTAAACAAGATATTGATTTATGAATGGCTAGCCAAAGTTTATATAACTGAATGCATGAAGAAATTAAACACGACGACTTCGAATATCTTACCGCACTCCACCTTTTGTTGAGGATTTCATTCATTACAATGGCATTTTGTCCATACATCATAGGAGAAACATAATATCCCCAGATCAACCATGGATCAATGTCGTCTGCAAGTAAAAGTAGTGTTAATAATACTTGAAATGAGGCAAAAGGTTTAACCGAGAACCGTGTTTTAGTGACAAAGAGAGGTCGAACACTTACTTTTGGCGACGATGAAAACTCCAAGTACAAAAACCTATCAACAGGGTGAAGAAGGCCTTTTTCCCCAGTTTCATTTAAATTTTCTATATTTCGGATTTGAAGGATTAAAAACATAGATAAAATGAAAGGAGTGACGTCAGACAGAATAGTGATTATCATGCAGGCGCTCCAACAGATGATTCACAAGAGAAAATTAGTCCAAAGAACCAGAGAAAAGAAGTCTCTAGGGTTTAATAAAATATTATAAAATCAAACAATGCCAAAATCAGTCCACAAGCCGGACTGTTATAGCAAAAAATCGTCTTTATTCGAATTTTGCTAAAAATAGAAAAATCCCGAAAATCACTCTAAATTGAAATTCAAAATAAAATAAGCAATCTCCAAAAAATCCGGCCTAAATCAGATTTAAATTGACTTCCTAATTGACAATCGAAATATTACCATAAATAATAAAAAATATCTAAATCTAGTAATTCGGAGGGGAAAACGGCAGAATTTGAGGTTGAAAAAAGGCCACATGGAGCATAGCTCAATGTGGAGAGCGTGCACGTCGAAAAGAACTTTCCGAATTGGGATCTTATGCGCGATTCTGACACTTGTAGCCAAAGTTATGGCCAAAAGACTGAATCATACTCAAAACGACCCCAATGAGAACATGTCACAATCAATTCCCGCCTTTACGCTGATCTGGTATCTCAGCGCCATCAAGGTGCAATCTGACAGCTCAGCATCATCTGTCTCGGATCCCCTGCATCAGAGGGGAAACATAGGTTATCTAGAGGGAAACTGATGACAATAGAGAATTGTCTCTTAATTAGGTTTGTTTAGTGATCTGTCAACAAGCGGCACTACATCGTGCAGGATTTGAAAATTATTTTTGTTTATAGCAGGATCAATCAATGGTGTCCCAGCAGCAAATTCAAGTGGCAAGCACAACTGAAGTTATGGAATCAGTAGAAGCTGAGCAGGATGCTGTGTCACGTAACATGATTCATCATTATGCTGCTATTAACACGTCCAATGGGGTGTTGAGGTCGACAAGGAATGTAATGGAAGTTGATAATAACTTCTTTCATTTAATGTTGTGCACACTAAATGTTCTTATTTTTAACTGATGTTCTTTTGATAAGGCTGAAAAAGAAACTCATGGATTGCATAGAATGTTAACAAATAATGATTCAGATTTGCAGATGATTCGTGAAAGGAAGGTCAGTTGTGTTTGGTTGTTGTTTTAAATATTCTTTTATATGTTCATTTTCAGATTTATTGATTTACTTGTACTGGTTGCTTGCTTTCACTATAGATATTATTCAACATAGTGGGAATGCCTGAGAAAGATGTTCGAGAGGATAAGCAGCAGAGTCAAATGACTGGCAACGTTGCACTTGTAAAATCGGTAAAGGCTGGGAAGAAAGCTGAACCAGTCAAATTGAGTACTCAATGTGTCGAAAAATACATGTCAGGTGGTCGGTGGAGGTCACGACAGAATTTAACTGAGGTAGAATGGCCTTTTATACTTCATTTTATGCTTCATGTTTGATCCTTAGATCTCAAATGAAACTTTTTTTTTCTGTCAGACTGAAAAGGAAGAGCGAAGACTATGTAGAATATTAGCAAACAGGGAGTCAGCAAGGCAGACGATTAGCCGGAGGCAGGTAATTGATTTTTTACATGTTACAGTGATGTTTGCTTTGGGATTTAATGTTACATGGTTTCAATCTCCATTAGTTGAGATGCTTATGTGTGCTTTTGTTTTTTTTATGTTACATGGTTTTCGGTCTCCACCGGTTGAGTTGCTTATATTTTTTGTTGATGTGACTAGTAAAAATTTTGTCTAATGAGACTATGCTTGTGAAAGATGTTTGAGGATTGACATTTGCTACTTGCAACATTCTCTGTTATTTATAAGCAAGTCCCAAGATTTTAGTATCTAACTATTCAGCTCATTTTCATTCATATATAATCTATTTTTGGTTTTATTGCTCTCTGAAGTTGATTTAAGGCCAACTGTTGAACACCTATGCTGCGCTTTGGTTCAGGCTCTCTCTGAAAATTTGACTCTAAAAGTTGCCGATTTAACACGGGAGAATGAAAATTTGAAGAGGGTAAGTGGTACTTCTTCTATGGAATTGACTGGATAATCCATTAAGGCCATTTTTTTCTTTTTACTTTATTTTTCAAAATTGAGTACCTCTGCTCTGCTGGTTTTAAAGTAATACTAAAAGAATTTAGGTTTCTACCCTTATAAAATTCTTGTTCATTCTATATATGTTACTATCGCATGGTTCCTTATTCTTTTTTGATAACCTTCTTACGGAGAAGGCAAAGGAGTTGGCCATGAAAGAGTATCTGTCTCAGGAGAGCACCAATAAGGACCTGAAGGCAGAGGTAACATGAATTAGCATCAGTGAACCTTTTAACCTTGAAAGTAGTTTACTTGCTCACTACTTTTTAATCTTGAAAATACCCTTTACTTCTTTGACATGCTATATTTTTCCACAGATGGCTAAGGCAAACAAAGCTGACGAAGTGGAAGCTCCTGGAGAAGTTAAGTTAGCCCATCAGATTTTCTGGTCCATCTAGAAATTATCCAAATTTCTTTATAGCCAACATCCTTTTACCAATTTTTGGTGGCCTTCCATTGTTCAGTCTTCACACCCTCTTCAATCTCAATGTGGGCAACAAAATGTTTTTTTTTTTTTGTTTCATCAAGCATTTATCCACCAACTTATGGTATGCTTGATTCGTCTCATGATCAAGAAAATTCCAGAAATGTTAATGGCCCCAAGAATCCCTTATATGCAGTGCCTTACCCTTGGTACATTTCTCTTCTGATCATGGGAATGGACTGCATCCTCATCCTTCTTGTGGCATAAGTAATATCAAAGAAGAGGCTTCTGTGAATAATGGATTTAGTGCTGGTGTTCTTTGAAATCTGTTGCTCATGAGGAATATAATCCCTCTTTACCGATAGAGATGAGAAAGAGGCTTATGGCTCACTTGAAGCCAGTTCGAATAACATGAATTATACTCCACCTAGGCCTCTGCCAGATGGAGGTGGTCAGTGTGTAAGGTTTCACATCAAAGAAGAGGTCCTTGTGCTTACACCTCCATGTTCAGCAGGGGCTACATTTGTTGAAGAACAGGAGAATGAACCAGATCATGTTGTCAATACTGAAGGGACTCCAATAAGAGTATGCCACATTATAGATGCCTTGCCAGAAGAGAATCAAGAATCGACCAATTCCATAAGTAAGGAAGTACAGGATGCAGTGACTGCTGCTGAAGCTAGGAGGAGGAAAGAACTTATAAAGCTAAAGAACCTCCAAGGTCGACAATGTCGGGTACAACAATGAGCTTATCAGAAAATGTTTGGGCAGGGAACTCATGAAGTTAGCACCTTTGCAGGAATACAAATTCAAAAGCAGAAACAGGTATTTTTTCTAGGCTTTTTCCTCTTTCGTTTTGGTTTTAGGATACAAGGGCTGAAGTTAATTAGCCATACTTTTTTCGGGGGGATATTGTGCGGCAGATTTAGAGTGCTTACCTTTTTTCCCCCTTAACCAGTAACAGGGCTGTGAAAATAGTTTGCATTAGCTGCAAACATAGTTAATGCTTTGTAAAATATGCTGCTTGGTTTTCACCCTCTAGCTGAAAACCACATTTATGAGGGTCAGATTGTTATGTTGAAAATTCGTGGTTGATAATATATACAACTTTCAGTTTTTATTCTTTATCCGCACAATGTATGCCATTTTGTTGCTACATCAGACATGTCTGAATCATTGTATTCTCCAAAACAAGTTTATGGTGACCGATTCATGAAATCTGATTTTTTGATATACAAAACATGGAGCAAAATCAAAATGATGGTTTCTGTTTGAAGACAAGGATATGGCTCTTAACACCGTGCCCTTTGTTACTCCACTCAAGTGTAGCTGATGGGATATCCGTCCCATTCTATTGAACCGCCCTTGACAGTAACTTTAAAAGATTTGCTTTGATGCTTCCTATAAATTTAGTTGTTTCTGGGATAACTTCAAAGGAAAGTCCTTTCGGAGATGTCACTTTTGCTTGAACTCTCATAATTTCCGTATCCAGCATTAGTCACAGCCCTGTAAAACTCTGCTGAAATTCTCGATTCTGTACCATTCAGATGGATGTGCATGGAAGGATAGTTGAGTCTGTCACTAATGCATTTTAACAGTCATTTTTGTTTGCAATGATAGTCCAATGGTAGTGCTATTGAAGCCTTCTTTACAAAGATTAATTACATAAGAAAAAATTGATTGTATTAATTATAAATTAATTAACAAATAACGTAACTTTAACTCTTAGGTGGGTTATGTACTGACTCAGAACACATTACAAACTTAATTAAATTTTAAAATCGATTAAACTTCAAATTTGATACGGATATCAAGAATGCGGGCAATGTGGTGCTGCTCACCTTTGGTTGGCCAGGTCGGGATGGGTGCTGATCTCGTTAGGTTGGAAGGCAATGCGATGTGTTCACCCGGCTTTTCATGTGATTCAGCATTGCAGGTCACGTATATTTTGAAGGGCAGTGGTCGTCTCCAAGTCGTGGGTGTTGAGGGTAAAAGGATACTGGAAACCATTGTGAAGGAAGGGAACCTGTTGATAGAGCCAAGGTTCTTTGTTGTATCAAAGATTGCAGATCCAGATGGATTGTCATGGTTCTCGATCATCACAACTCCCAAGTAAGTCATTTGTTCTCAAAATCCGATACTTTTTTGAGTTGTGTTACCAATTGTGAATTATGATGAATTGATATGCAGCCCTGCCTTCACTCACTTGGCTGGGAGCATTGGGGCATGGAAAGCTATATCCCCTGAAGTTCTACAAGCAGCTTTCAAGGTTCCAGCTGAGACAGAGAAGATTTTCAGGTCCAAGAGATCCAATGATGCCATCTTCTTCCCTCCACCAAATGGAAGAAACAAATCTCTTCTAGTTCTAGTTTTAGATTTATTTTGGTCGATAAATATGTTAACAACATTTTCTTAGCCGAAAATTCTTTTTCTTTTCTTCCTTGCTTGCTTCTGTCTACCGTCCAGTCATGTTATTTTTAGGTCTTATATCGCCGAGTGCTGCTATTTTTTTTTATCCCTTTCTGATAAAACGAATATAAGCTTACCGTTTAGATTTAAATGTATGACCATTTACATCACCAGTTCTTTAGGGACTAAATAGCAAATGCACTTTCACTCTTATGAAACGATATAAGAAAAACCCTATTTCAGCGCTGTAAGAAATTCCATGTTGCTAGTCTTTCGACAGTGCAAGTGAATGAATACAGTTTCATCAGTGCAAGTAATTCCGTATTTATTATGTCGACGTGTTTAGATATCGGAATGCTTAGGACATAGTTAGTTAGCTACCTTCACCCAAATCTTTTAAATGATGATAATATCTTTTCTAATGAGTAAAATATTATCGTCATATCGAACAAGTCAATCCATCTTATTTTCTTTGATGTGTTTATAAATGTTCTTCTGAAATATCAAATGTCTTAATCATTTGATCAAACCATTACTTTAATGAGCGAGAGCTTTTGAGTCCATATATAGATTTCTGCAGCTTGTAAAGTTTTCATACTGAGGTTACTCAAATCATCAAGTGCCTAAATTTTGCGGGAATCCAATCACGTACTAACGTTTTAGTACTTGAATATCCCTAAAATGCATCATTGTGTATAAGTTATTACATTTTTAACGATACCAAAATTAATATACCAAATTATCAAACAGATAGAATCCGAAGGGCACATCGATCGAGAATCATATGGTCACACAAGTTATCACATGTTCAAACTAGGGATGAGAATGAGTCTGGTCAGGTCAGATTTTCGGTCTACCCGATCTGATCTAAAAATTATAAATCCTCCACTCGACTCAAGCTCGACCTGAAAAATATACACCTTTAGTCCAACTTGAAACTTGTTGGGTTTTTGGCAAAATCTCACATTGGTTGTGTATAAGGAGGATGAGAATTTTTTTTGTTATAAATAAGCCCTCCTCCTCCTTAGTTTAGCATCCTACAAATATAAGCCTTATTCACTATTAAAGGCTATTTGTACTCTTTCTCTTTTTGTAATATTTCCTCTATTAGTGAAATATTATTTTAGTAGTGTTCGAGGAGGTAGGCATAATTTTGGCCTAATCTCGTTAAATTTTGGTGTTCTCTTTATGTCTATTTAATAGCTATTGTCGGGTATAGTTGTTGTTAATTATTGTCATATTAAAATTACTTGTCTTGGTAGTTCTGTCTAAGGAAAGTGGATTTTAAGAGGGACCATTGTGACCCCTCCTCTTTCCTGGAAATCTATCTTGGGGTAATTTTTAGTACAATCGTTTTCACACTAGTCACCTAGATAATAGTTTTCAAGGTGAATTTGTTATTATTGGTGGAAATTAACCCGAATTCCACAACAATTGATATCAGAGCTCTTGGTTTATTTTAGTATGCTTTGTGGTTGCGACTTAGGCTGATCTTCCACATCATAAAATATTTCCTTGGGGTAATTAACATTTCGCATTGACAGCTATTAAATAGAATTTGTAGCAGAAATGACAGACGACACAAAAACATCCGCAAGAAATGTTGTAACAAATGTTAGATTTGAAGTGGAGATTTTTTATGGTACCGGTCATTTCGGCATGTGGTAAAGTGAGGTTCTAGATGCTCTATTTCAGCAGGGTCTAGACATTGCTATTAAAGGAGAGAAACCAGATGATGTTGAGGAGAAAGAATGGAAGATGATCAATAGATTGGCATGTGGTACTATTCGATCGTGTCTTTCTAGAGAACAGAAGTATGCATTTTCTAAGGAAACTTCTGCAAGTAAATTGTGGAAGGCACTGGAGGAGAAATTTTTGAAGAAAAGCGATCATAACAAGCTCTACATAAAAAAGAGATTGTTCTGCTTCAACTATGTACCAGGTACCACTATGAATAATCACATTACTAGCTTTAATCAGTTGGTGACTGATCTGATGAATATGAACGTGACTTTTGAAGACGAAGATCTGGCTCTGATGTTGATGGGATCACTTTCTGATGAGTTTGAGTATCTTGAAACTACTCTACTTCATGAGAAGGTTGATGTGTCTCCAGTGAAGTAACTGTTGCCTTGTATAGTTATGAATTGAGAAAGAAATAAAAACAAGAAAATACAAGTGTCGAAGCAGAAGCTCTTGTTGTTAGAGGTCGTTCGAAGAGTCAGAATAAAGGAAGGAGAGGGAGATCGAAGTCAAAGTTCAGATTGAGCAAAGATGAATGTGTCTTTTGTCGAGAAAAAAGGCACTGGAAGAAAGAATGTCCCAGGCTAAAGAATAAAGGCAAACCTGAAAGGGGAAAGGCTGTCTCAGAATCAAATGTGGTCGAGTATGATGATACAGATTCAGATTTCGCATTCGCTGCTATGCCATCAACCAGCTGTTCCAGTTCATGGCTGTTAGATTCAGCTTGTAGCCATCATATGACCCCCAATAGAGAATGGTTCTTTTATTTTAAAGAACTAAAAGGTGAAATTGTCTACACAACAAATAATTCCCCTCTTGACACACTTGAGATTAGTTCAATTCACTTGAGGAATCAGGATGGATCAATCAAAACCTTATCAGGTGTCTATTATGTACCAGATTTAATGAGAAATCTCATCTCCGTGGGAACCTTAGAGTCAAAAGGTTTAGAAGTGAGGGCAAAAGATGGGATTATGAGGATTATCTCTGGTGCACTGGTGATAATGAAGGGAATCCGAAAAAGAAACAATGTATATTACTTTCTGGTAGTACAATTGTTGGGACAGCAGCAGTGGCAACTTCTACTGATGAACAGGAGTCAGAAGCAACCAGGTTATGGAATATGCGCTTGGGGCATGTTGCTGAAAAATCCTTGAAATTGTTGATAGATCAAGGATTATTGAAGGGTGCTCGGGCTTGCAAATTAGCTTTTTGTGAGCATTGCATCAAAGGGAAGAAGACGAGGGTGAAATTTGGAACAACAATCCATGATACTAAAGGTATTTTGGATTATGTTCATTCAGATGTATGGGGGCCTTCCAAGATAACTTTATTGGGAGGAACACACTATTATGTCACCTTTGTTGATGATTTTCCCCAGAGAGTTTGGGTGTATACAATGAAGACAAAGGATGAGGTGCTAGGATTTTTCCTTAAATGGAAAAATATGGTGGAGACTCAAACAGACAGAAAAATCAAACATCTCCGTACAGACAATGGTGGAGAGTACAAAAATGATACATTTATGAAAGTCTGTGAAGAAGAAGGTGTTGTCAGGCATTTAACAGTCAGATCTACACCACAACATAATGGGGTGGCAGAGCGTATGAACCGGACATTAGTGGAGAAGGTTCGGTGTATGTTGTCTAATG